CAGTTGAATAGCGAAGTGCAATTTAATTTTGGTATAGTGAATATCTTACCAAAGTTTATACGTGCTATAACAGGTATCGCAAACATCCTTCTGATTCACGATGATGTATGACTATGTAATGTTTCAGTGGGAGACGTGTTCAATAGCAGTCTGTCCGAATAGGAAGGCGGAGTGACCTGTACTGTAGGGGGCGTGGTTTGTCAGAGATGGGATAGCTACTACCCCCATAGACCGAAACACTATGTTGGTCGGAGTGACCTGAGAAATGGGTGTCAGCTTGAAAGTGGGCACCGTCCCTGGTGCTACACGACAGATCCGGAGATGGAGTGGGACTTCTCTCCGGTGGTAGACATGGATTGTGGGGCCCCTCCCACCACGACAGGATCCGGAATACATACCGTGTGGCCTATCGAGGCACGTACGCGTTGGCGTGGTACCGTTGTGCGTACTTTGAAACATTTGACCCCGTATCCAGTTGTCCCGTGACGCGCTGTGACGGAGCCCTCACGTGGTCGAAGGCTAACATTTCCTGTTCCGGTAAATATGTTCTTTATTATCAGCGTTATCTAGCACCACCTTTGCGAATAAAATTGAAATGTTATAAAATTGAAATACTATAAAATTGAAATACTATAATTCAAGTCTGATTCAATGTCACAATGCGGCATCATGCATCATTATGTATCCATGTAATAGTAAGGCAACATACTTCTCCTTAAGTCTCCATGTCACTGTATGGTAAATGGTAACAGCAAGGTATGATACATCATTAAGTACCAATGTCACACTATGAAAGTATACATTCTTAATTAGCCATGTTTGAATAAAGTAGGGTACATCCTTAAGTCTTCCTATTACGCACTATCCTTGTATCTCTATACTTACTAAGGTAACATACACCCTTAAGTAGTCATGTCACAGTCGGGTATTATCTACCCTTTTGTCCCAATATAACAGTAATGTAGCATACATCTTTAAGTCACAATGTCGATCACCATGAGGTGACATATATCCTTAAATATCCATGTCACAGTAATGTAACGTACATTCTTAAGTTTCCATAACAAAGTTATATCAAAGCCAGTCAAACTTCAATACAGTAAAAACACCGTTATAATGCATTGCGTTTTATGTGCGACGACATTTTCACAAACACACATCTCAAAGTACTCTTTTTCTTTTTCTTGATAACCTCTTACCAAATCACTCGCAAAACATCCGTTGGAAAAACGAATGTAAACTCATGAAAGTTTCTTACTATAGGTTATATTTATATCTTCAGTGAAGAACTGTTATGACGTCGCCAGTCAGACCTACAAGGGCCGGGTATCCTGCACAAACACGGGTCACACGTGCCAGCGATGGGACAGTGATACCCCACACGTACCCAAGATACTCCGTGGTCGCAGTGACCTACATAACTGGTGTCGAATGGGTAGAAAGTCGAGACCTTGGTGTCACACCACTAATCCCCTCGTATCGTGGGATTACTGCGCCGTGGAGGAATGTCCATGAGTTGGACAGGGATTTTTTCTTGGAAAACTCCATGTTTGTTGTTGCTTTCCTGTGATACTTGCAGTTAGTGAAAGTTTTCGTACTTAGTTCGATCTTTCAAATGTACGGTTCACGCGTTTATGTACGGCCTGGGGTAACAATATATACAACATTTTACCAATAAATTTAAAATTTCAGTTTCTTTCAATTTCATAATTGCACACAGTTTTATAAATCAAGTGTTTTTATTCATACATGCATTATATTGTAACTTCACATGGCGTTGTTACACTCTGTCAAATTAATCTGCAATTAAACCTGTTTACGGTTTTGCTTTTGGAAATTCATTTACTTAGTTTTATTGTTTTATGTGTATCTAAAAATAAATCATTTTCCAAGTGGTTCTGTAGAAATGGATTTTTTTTCAATCTGGATAGGAATTACCGTTGTCATTTTATTTTTATGTCATTGCAGTTTTTCCAAAGCTTCTCTTAAATTTACACATATTGTTCGTTATTCCGGTCATTCGTACAGGCTCGAAATAATTTTCAGTCTTATTCCTTGCGGTTTCTTTTTTTCTCTCATTCCTGTACGTATATGCTAATTTTTTATCTTACATCCCATTTCAGGTGCGTGACGTCACAATTGGAAAACCGTATGGTCACGTAGCGAAATAAGGAACATTCCGACGCTACGATGCAGAAATTGCGACGTTGTTTGATGGTTTTTGAGTTGAGGAAAATACTCTTTTGTGCCCGAGGGTAAAGAATAAGGAAATTTCAACCTCGGTATTTTCAAATTGGTGCAAAACTCCTACCTATGCTTGAGAGTTACCAAATTCGAAAACCCCTGCAACGGAATTTCTCTATCCTACACCCCTGGGCATGAAAGACTTAAAACTTTTTGTTACATGTATTAATCAAGGTTTTTTGAACGGTTAACCAAACATACAACATTCCGCGTTAAAACGGCCATAGGACAATACTGGCTCCACAGTAACAATTTTTTAAATAATAAAAACACATAGACTATATAAGCTACAGAAAAACTGGATTTCAGGGTTAGTGTTTCAAAAAGGCGTTAAGCGTAAAAAAAATTAAGGATTGGATAATTTTAGTTAAATATTAATGTTTAAGCCAGCAAAAAGAAAATGTGTATCGAGCGTACATATATATCAATTCCACGAAAGAAATGGAGCTATGTACAAAGTATAAACAACGTCTAATCAACGCCAGGTAAATGAAACGATACAGTACATTATCTTAATTTTGACCCATATTAAATTTACTGGTTTTCAATGTTTCTTTCATGAACATTTTTCTTGGAGTATTAGAGCGAGTCCTGCCGATGAAGTTACATCTATTTCGTATTAGAATTGCTTGGTCAACTTCTTAATCATAATCAGTGACCCTCACTGTTTTCGTGGTAGCTAGTAAATCAGAAAATATAGAAACTTGTGTGAGATATTTCTGTTAATAAGCAGCTTAGGTCTTTATCCCCAGGAACTACACCATCTGGGCAAAATGGAACGACACTAACTAGAACATATCTTTTAAGCAAACAGATCAGTTCGATAATGATCATGAGTACATTAGACAATTCCGATCAAGGAGCGTTGGTCTTAGCAAAATGCTTACCTGTGCACGTACAGGTAGGAAATGTGTAAGTCGGAAGCTATCTTAAACAAAATGGGGCTAAAACTGACACTTCAAATATCTTAGAGATCAACGTTCAGGGGGGCTAGTAATACAACTTATGTTTACATTCCTGAGAGTTAGGGTACAAAATGCACCGAAAGGATTCACGGCCTTATTCCTGCAACAATAGATGATATATACATAATCTTGGATTTGTAGAAGGGCAAGGGAAACAACTCCTATAAAATGGCTTAAAATGAAAGGAGCTGCGAGACGTATATCTCCGCTGTCAGAAACGTTTAGGTGCCTCAGTATTGTCCAAGTTAATCTTAAAATCCAACAATAATGTCAGTGCTTTAATAGGCAAAGAATTTAAAATAATTGGCGTATTGGAATAGAAATGGTATATAAACTTTTACCTACAGTTTGGTTGAAAGACTTTCGATTAAAATTACTATGTTCATGTAAATTCTTAATGGATTATTAGATCTACATTATTCATGGCTAAATATTGCTTGTCAAGTAGCACATTGCTTTTTTTTATTCAGGTCTACAAGTCAAATATTTATGTTGGCACAATTTTATGAATATAATTATGCTGAATTGAATATATAATCCCTGTCCCACTGCACTCTGGTCGTTTTCATATACACAGTAACCTCCCCTTAATCACGTTTTGGGTATAACTGAACCACGGTTGGGCCAAGACACTTCCGTTGATCAGAAAACTCATCGAGAGAGACGGCATAACAATGTCTGAGGGCCCGTGGTTCGAATCCCGTTTTTGCCCGGCTGAAACATTTCATCTTAAACTCAGTATACTTTTATCGATTTTATTTGGTTCATTTTACCTTAGTGATCTTTCATAAAAGTCGCTCAAGGTAATGTTTTCTTTTCAGAAACTTTTGTATCAAAGCCAGAAAATAGTTTCCGATGCGAAGTTACAGTTTTCGCCATTGGTTCGATTCCTTAGCTTGAAACGAAACCCTTTCGTCCGGATTTTCTTCTAGCTGAACCAAATGTTCAGGCATTGACGAAAAAATAAAAATTGTGGTAATAAACGACATGATAGACAATGCAGGGGAGTACATCGAAAATATTGAAAACAACCGCAAGAAGGAAAAGTCATTGTTCGTCTTATGGTGTTTGTAATGAATTAATTAAGCACCATCAACGCATACGAAAACAATGTTATGATATGACATGTTTTATATCAGTGTCAATACTGGTCCAAAAACCCCTCTCATATAGCTCTCATATAATAACTTCTAAATCTGGGCTTGACTTCTTTATCGGTGTATCATACATTTTGTTTATTGAGATTCAGACGGCTGTTTACACATAAACATTTATTGAAAGTAATTACATTTTAATTTCTTTACCTTTCTGTTGCCGCGGATTCAGTTACTATTCATCGAAAAGAATTGAAGATCACTTTTGTATTTATTTATTTTTTATTTATGAAATATACGTACTTCAGCGTGCACAATTATCTTTCCTCATTTCTTTTCCATTTACCCCATGGTCATGACAAAGAAAGTCTAGGTGCTCATCTTTGGGCGTTATGTTGACGTAGATTTATCAAACAGCTGTCATCTTTTAGATAAGTAAATCTATATACAAACTCGATAAGCGGGACATAAAAATACCACCTAGTTTTACAAGGCAGATACCAAAAGGCACTAATGATAAGTCTTTGTTGGCAGCAAAATCTGACCGGTATGATAAATTCCACTGTTTTTGGGTTGAGAGCGTCTTTAAAATATCATTTGATATGTAAATGTATAACCTGGAAAAACGACGAAGTATCTCCCAATATTACCTATATATACGTGCTCTGTCAGTACACCACGTAATACCGTAGCCGAAACAGGTTGAACTGTGTATTGGGTTAAAGATCTTAATTGTATTGACCCGTCAACCCGTCTATCAAGACACAAGGGGGTAATACACGGCGAGAAAGGCGCAGTATCGTTATTCTGATGTTTTAGTAAGACAGACTGAAGGAATTCTGTACACTGGAATCATATAACGTTAATAAGACATCAATTTGAGAATTTTGTTTTCGAAAATGATGTCTTGTAGAGCATTTGTACCATTGTTGACGCTAACAATGGTGACAACCGCAGTATACGGGGTAAGTTAAATGAAAGCAAGTTATGCTGTAGTATTTTTGTTGTTATGAACATTAAAATCAGGGCAATCAGTTTCAAAATTACGTTTAATCTTTTCCTTCATGTTTGTTTTGTTCTATAAATTTGTTTCCTTTAAACGTTTATTGAAATGTCGCCATTGATAACTGCAAGAATAACTTTGTGAATCAACACCAGCACATTTTGTATATTTCTATCTTGATATTTTCGTACAAAATTCAGTTTGTCACACAACGTTATGGCTAAGATCAATTGCACAGTGCCAAACTCTAGAGGCGTACGCGTGCTTGCTTTAATTCTGCAAGCAATTCTGCAATAATCCGTTCTATGATCTGAATAATAAAATTACGCCTTTTTAAACAGCTGAAAGTATTAGTCTTATTAATATGCTTCCATGAGATATTGAATTTCAATTTTCTGATAATTACATGTAGGTAAAATCTTAATTTGATTTGTCTTTAAGTTTTGGTTTTCACCGATAACAAATTTCCAATATTCGAAATCTGTCTCTAATCCTCATATTTTTCTTTGGTAATAACGGAATACTGCTTAACGGGAAATTTTCAATTTAACAAATTGTGAATATAGATTTTTACGGCCAATGGCTAAAATTATAGTAGGAGCATGTTAACTGGTACTTATGTGAACTTAATAAAATGTCTAGCGCATTGTACGTATTCATAAATAACGTTAAATAACTGAATAAGCTAATACTATTTTTAACTTGCATTTTTTTTTATCCTAAACAGAGCGGGTGCGTTTCGGCACCAACATGCTCATGTGACTTCGCTGGTGAAGAAAATGCCAGTACGACAAAGTCTGAGATGTTAGCTGGGGCAGTAGGAGCAATGAGTCCACTGCTGGCCGCAGGGGCCGGGTTGGGGATTTACAAGTTCGTACAGAGCCGGATGGCAGCGCCTAAATTGGGATTTGAGCGGGCACCTTCCGACCTGACAGACGACTCCTTCCGGGAAGCGAAACAAAAGAAATTCTCGCGTGGTAGACGAAACAGTACAACGCCACTTCAGACCGACACGAGCGACTTTAATTCTAGCCGGAGAGGGTCGAACGTTACAACACTTTCCGTCACTGATTATGACGATTGGGATGTTGATTCAGATCGGGGAATGCCGTCTGGAGACATGGATGATCCCATGTCGTACATGGGGTCCACCGTGTCCACCTCGGAAGTGTCTCCCAGGATAACTCCTAGCTTCCAATCACCACCCGCCACAGTGAAGAAGGACAACATTAATACATGGATGTTTTAAGGGATTAGTGTGTGTTGTGTGGACATCTTATAACAGGAAAATTGAGTGAAATGCTATTAATGATAAAAGGTTTCCATCAGTTTAAATAAATATAACGAAAATAAGAAAAAAATTCAATAGAATGGTTTCTAAAGCATTACATATGTCCTGAATATATCACAGTTAATTCGGCGAATTTCCCAGATATCTTATATCATATAATATAATAAAAACAAAATACAACTTATTTCTGTATTTGTGAAACTGATTAATCATGGTTGATCTTTTTATGGTGTGTTATTTCTATTTAATGAAGTGTTTAATAAAAAGTACTATTGAAAATGCCGTTTGTTATTCATTAAATGACATGCGATTGCAATAGAAGTGTAAAACAAGCACTAAACATGATATTCGACAGTAACATTAGGTAAAATGTGACATATGCAGTTTGATATGTTTAGGAATATTCCAAATCGTTGGGTATCGTCATGGTTTATCTATCAAACGATAAGATACAACAAATTAAGCTTAAGTCAAGCTTTGTTTTCTAGTACAATCTTTTCACCGTTGTAAAAATAGTCATGAAGCACAACCAAAAAGTGTTTATATGTGACGTTTCGATGACTAGTAGGGTATGTACTTAGTCACCTTCATCAGACAAATGACCAGTGAAGCGTATGTACACAAAGGTGTAATATATTTACGAAGTGTCGATTACCAAGTATTAAACAAAGCGAAGCCGAATCAAGTCATTTCGGTACATATATAACAACAAACTGTACATACGCTTACAGCGTGGTCGAATCGACATCGATTTGTGGACAACTCGTATATATATGTTTCACCTTTGTGTGCATACACGTCACTAGTCATTTGTCTGATGAAGGTGACAGAGTACATACCCGTACTAGTCATCGAAACGTCACATATAAACACTTTTGGTTGTGCTTCATGAACCTTTTCCACAATCCATACTTACCAACCAAAAGAAAATGTTTAGTAATCTGTTCACCAAATCATAAAAAAAATCATTTAATCCCTGATAAAAGCCTAAGTACAAAAGCTTTGGTTTACAGCGACTGTTGGCATCTATTTCATTCCGTTCCTTGTAGGAAACATTGTAATGAATATTTAGCCAGATCTGGTTGGCAACTCAATCAGCGATACATATGCAATTTTGGGATCTTATTTAGCATTTCTTAATGTAAATAACTTGTTCTCCTGAAAATTATATTATTTCCCAATTTTAAAGGAGCAACAAAGCGCGCGCGTGCGTGTGTTACGTGCATCGTTTAATATACAAGGTGATAGACTCGGCTGGTGGATATTTTGTCTTTGAGGTTTGTTGTAGCCTTGATGACCATAATTATCTTGTTTTTTAAGTATTGGCACGGTTCATAATATATACACTTTACATATTATTAAATTTGAAATATACCAGTACTGCGCTAATGTTTTAAAATCATAATTATCACAATTTGGATCTCCACTTTGCTGGCCTCTGGCATCACCTACGAGTCCCAGAATGACGAAACAGCTGTATGGCACAGTGTAATTCAGTTTTGGCGTACTATATACATATATTACCAAATTCTAAAGATGCAAGCAAATGTGTTTATGGTACGTTCATCTATTAAAGTAACATAAACAGATCTTGTCAACAATTTGTTACAAACATTAATTTCAACAAAATTTTGATTGTTCATTTGATAAATTGAGTATAATTAAGTCAGTGATATTTCACTCTCTAGAAATACAAATATTGGCATAAGTAATAGACTGTATTACAAATTTTGCTAATTTTACCAGCTGTTTTAAATTTATGTTTTGCCCAATACTATGATAGTATATTGCACATATTGCTTGGTGTAATATTAAAAAGAGATCAGTAAATATAATACATTAATGTTAATTTTTATAGATACAGATATATTTATTTCATATTTGTTCAATTGAAATAGCCAGAAACCAGAAACCATTGTGACCTATTCAAAACGTATAACGTGTTTTAATTTGTGCCATTATGGTGTTGTTGTTTTTTAAATCTAAATGCATTGTTTATAATCATCTTTCGCTATATTTTACAAACATGATGATTTCTCCTTGCGATTGTTTCATCTATCACGAATCTTATATATAGGGGAAAAGACCATTCAAAATGTATGTACTGTGCATAAATACTTATTTGTGTGAGTTAAAACTAAATCATGATATTGTATTCAATGAACGAATAATATTACGGAGAAAGCATAGTATATCTCCTAATAAAATTATGAAGGAAAAAACGCATTATACAACCCATTTGTTTGCATTTTGGCAATACAATATGTTTAATATATACGAGATACGTTGGCAAATTATCATAATCGTATAGCTGTTTATCGAATATCCTGTAAGACATAAGTCAAAATGATAATTTAACAAAAAAGTATATGCTGAGTGCAAGTTTTGACCGCCAATATCAAAATTACAAAGTGAAATGTGAAAATAAATATTAAAGAGAAATACATTAAAATAACAATAAATATAGTCACCTGGTACGTGGTATATAACAAAATTAGTCAACTGGTACGTGGTAAATAACAATATATATAGTCACCTGGTACGTGGTAAATAACATTACATATAGTCACCTGGTACGTGGTATATAACAATATATATAATCACCTGGTACGTGGTAGATAACAATATATATAGTCACCTGGTACGTGGTATATACCAATATATATAGTCACCTGGTACGTGGTATACAACAATATATATAATCACCTGGTACGTGGTAAATAACAATATATATAGTCACCTGGTTCGTGGTATATAACTATATATATAGTCACCTGGTACGTGGTAAATAACAATATATATAGTCACCTGGTACGTGGTAAATAACAATATATATAGTCACCTGGTACTTGGTAAATAACAATATATATAGTCACCTGGTACGTGATATATAAATATACATATAGTCACCTGGTACGTGATATATAACTATACATATAGTCACCTGGAAGGTAGAAAAAACAATATATATATATAGTCACCTGGTACGTGGTAAATAACAATATATATAGTCACATGGTCTGTGGTATATAACAATATATATAGTCACCTGGTACGTGGTATATAAGAAAATATCCAACAAAATGGTAAGTTATTTTATTGCCAATAACCGAAAAACAATGATCTTCTCTGATCATGATTCATTATTAAATAAGTTGAAGTTTGGCTCTTTTTATTTTTGTAATTTTCAAACATGACCATTTTAAATTTCTAATATTTTATTTGTAATGCATGCATACGAACGAATTACTATATACATGTTGTGGTACGGTATGTTTAATAAAACTTTAAATGAGACACGGCATATCTAATCAAAAATATTAGTGTTACAATACATTCATTTTTAGCACAAAAATCACACATAATGCATACAGAAGCACTACTGTCATCATTTATTTCAACTGATATGATATGCCTTATTTGGTACAACATATTACGCCATACAATTTTGGAGTATTACGTTATTAAGATAAATACTATATATTCATGTATCTCCATTAAGATATAATTAGCTCTGACGGGATATCATATTACTTATATATTTTTAGTGTTCAATATATGGATTGGTTAAGGCTTAACGATATCGGCTAGAGTATTCAATATTTAATGCGCCAATCGAGAGTGGCTTACAAATCTCCCCTGGCCAAAAATCAATCAAGACCAGACAACTACAAGTAACATCGACGGAAATATATAAATACACGGGATAATGGCTCTTCATTGCCCTATCCTATCTACTAAGATGTAACCTATCATATTTTGGGAGCTCTTTGGCTGCTTGCAGTGCAGATGTGTAATCGATTGCAAAGTTGGAGTTGAAATACTGTCAATATCGCTGGGATTGTAAGCAAGGTCACGATCCTCAGTGGGGGATCATGATTTCACTGCCTAGCTTACCTCTGTCACTCCTTTCTGTGGAAACTACCTTAACATGACGTCAGAGATGTACTTTTCGCAATTTGAAGGTCAACGTGATAAACGACTAGGTTTTGAAATATATTAACGTTATTAAAATCGCTTTCTGTCATTAAAATTTTGTGTTTTTTATGTTTTCTTTTCTGAAACAAAACACACTAAGAAGTTTTGATTAAGTGGTATTATTAAATAAGATATATTGGAGTGTTTAAATGTTTTGAAAGAAATTATCACATTATACGATATAAGTCTAAAAATGTTTTGAGTTAATTTATCATATATGGATAGAAACGATATATATCGATTATATATCTTAATATAATGCGTACCAAATGCTCACAGAAATCTACATGGAGTTGCAATGCATTTTTATTGTTGTTCACGTACAATGTACACTGTTCATAATGAAACATATGTAGCCTAGTTTTAAATATCTGTGGTTCATTCCATAATGAAATAGTAAAATAACAATGATACCATTTATAATGAAAGGTATTCTCGGCAATACTATATATAGCTTGGTAAGTTCATATCTTTAATATTTTAAATATCTTGTGAAATAAACACTTATTTTTTACATAGATATATATAAATCATAAATAAACAATTGTCTGTTCATTAAGACAAAGTAAATTATGTTGTATGCTATGTAAACAAAGTCATACTTTTAGTGTATATCCAAAATAATTACTTTCATGTTTACGGTAAATACATTGACATACAATTATATTGCTTTCATAATCTATCAACCAAACAAGAATAGAATATTTTCTTATCGCGAGATAATTGGGATTACCGATATGGCTAGACGCCAATATTTTAACTGTGGCGAATTACACTTCCCCAGGCATGTTGTGATACACTTCAGTATATCATTGACTTATTCCCATGTGGCTGTGATCCTCAGAAAAATGACCAAGGTGTTGATCCGGATCTTGTTGATATCGTGTCTTTTGTATGGAACAGTTTCAGCGGCTGGGGTGAGTATCATTTAATGCAATAAGATGCAATTAAGGTTACATTAGCACTGCTATCCGTAATGATATTTTACTTCAAAAAGGTTTGTGCAGCTGGATTCCAGATAATCTACTTTTAATCTATCTGTTTCTATAAATACATTATACATCCCTGTTAGGTGGTAATATTTTTCTTTATTCCTAACAAACCAAAAACAACGTATACCTATGTACAATGTACAAGGGAAGTGTCGTTACTCTTCCAACAGTTCTATACAGTAGTTGGTCTTAAATCATCTGAAAATAGCACAGAAAACTTGACCTCTTTATTTATGTTTTAATTGTGATAATTGTTATATTGTAACCCTATAATGTATATTATTTTGATATTTGTTTACATATGACAGAGACATATATATATAGCGGAGATTTATCTGTTCCCTATTTAATGTATGCATAGTACATTTTCTCATAACTCTCTAGCGTTTTCGTTAGGCACACTATTGATAAAACATAATCTCACAGGCTTTCATAATTTTCTATGAACAATTTTATGAAAGAATTTAGATGAAGTTTCAGTTTCGTTAGGCACTTTATTTAGGTACATTTCGTTCCTTATATCGATTTAAATAAGGAAAATTTATGTAAAAAGATGGTTCCATCAGTACTTTACTTTTAGACAGGTCAAACACCATTTTCCTACCTTCTTGAACATTTTATACATGTAAGCATGATCCTATCACGATTATTCTTTTTGATATTCAAATTTATCAACTTTCCAAAACAATTCAATTGTTCTTTTCCTCTTTTTACATAGTCCTGCACCGCAGCACCAAAATGTGTGTGTGAGTTCCCAGATGGAAGTAAACTACCTATAGAACCCAACACAGAGGGAAATGAGGCACTAGCGGGAACCGTGGGGGCGCTCAGTTCTCTTATTGCGACTGGAAGTGGGTTTGGAATATGGTATCTTTGTAAAAAGCGGAGTCAGTCCGGAAAATTTTCGTCGAATCTTTCTGATCAATCGTTTGGAAAGGACGGCTACGATCCAAATAATCCCCCGCCATATTCGGATGTTCCTAGAAAACGACCGGAAACAGTTTCAACTTTGAATCAGGAATATCCACGACCAGAATCTATGGGGCCAACGAACGTGTATCGAGCGCCAGGGAGCATCAACATGAAAGGAATCGGAAGTCGTCTATCGTCTGCTCATTCCGACTACCACGGGGCGCGGAGTGATTGGATGTAGCGAGGACGACGTGAACTGGACAGTGTCGTGGTCAGTTTAGTGGTCAAGTAGTATAATAATGAACAACATCGATTTGTTTGTGAAAATAAATCGCAAGAAAAACAGAAAAGGGTAAAAACAAAATATTTTATTACATGATACTGAAATGGTTTATGTTTTATATTGTGGGCTTGAGATCGAAAAAAAACAGGTAACGATATCGAGACTAAGTAAAAATTACGGATTTTAATGAAAAAAGAAGTTTTGTTTCTTTCATAGAATCTTCATTTTGGTATTTTTATATAATAAAGCCTTTTTTTGTACTGCTTGAGAAATTGTGAAATTTAAGCGGGGTAATTGTGCACAGAAATGGTTTCATTGAATCTAAAATTATGTTAAATCTCTTTTGCGTCAATGTTTTTCATTATGTATATTTTTAACATTCATAACTTAACTTTATAATAGATAACGAATAAGGATGCACCAAAATTGAAGATCTCTTCATATGTGAAAGGTTTATAAATTACCGCAATCTAGTCACTTTCTAGTCCTAACATCAAAATAAGTATTTTTCTTATCTTATATTGGAAATATTTAATGAATTATCATATTATTTCTCCTTTATTTTCTGTTTGACCTTGATATGTTCTTATATGTTGCGGTGTTGTTAAAACCAAAAACAAACAATCAGTTTTCTTAATAGCTTCGGGTATTATCCGACTTGTGTTATATAGCTTCGGGTATTATCCGACTTGTGTTTCCGAAGGATATTTTTCTGTTCTTCTTGACATCTGACAAATGAAAACAGAAAAAGGTTATTTTGTTGTGTAATCTATCATCTTGTTACTATTTATTTTAGATATTTATTTAAATCCTAATAATCGATCACCACGAGTCAATATAAGCTTCATTCCTTTTGCAACAATTATGAAACAGATTATTTCAACATATAATAACCATGTTTGTTTTCCCGGATGTAAGTGCGCAGGGTATCTTGATGTGGGAGGAAACCGGGGTACCAGGAACAAACCCACGTGGTCGGGCAGGCGATCCAATACTTTTTCATGTCCAAATCACAGAATGGAACAACTCCGGTCGCCTTTGTTTAAAGCGAATGCACTATCCACTGCTCCACCCGACCACCCACCACGAGTTGAATATACCATTTCTCCTTTACCACGAACGTGTAGAATGGAAGTGTTAAGTCTTGCCGCGTGGTGTCTATTCAAAATGTGAAATCAGTGAAAGAAAAAAGAAACCAACATTATATATACTATAACTATGTTGCTGTTGTAATTTACTGACGAGAGTAACTACTAGTTTTTGCTCAAGATTGTAGATTTATTTACTTAGATTTTACTCACAGTATTTATGACCAAATGCACATGGCAAAACACAAGTACATACTGATGATTTTACTCCTAATAAATTATTGAAATGTATTGAATTGTTCAGATGTTTTGATATTATACACAACTCACTTTATGGTTTCTTTCTTCTTCCGAAGATAATCTTATCATTTCTCACACTGAATTTCCACTTAGCAAAGACGAACAACTGTTTTGAGTCGTAGTTGTACAAATCTTAAAGATCATTTTTACTGACAACAAAACGGAAATCATTTAATGAGAAACCATTGCATAGTATTCCTTTAAAATAAGTTTCATTATGTATCATTTAAGTCCGAGGGAATTGGTTCAAGTTTGAGATTCTATTTATCATAAGATTTACCTAATACATTCTGTTCCACAATTCATTAGAATTAAAAAAATAAAAAAGTCGTTTTTTACCTTTCATCGTAAAATTCATGACGTCGAGAAAATGTATGATTTTGTTATTATGATTCATATACATATTTCTTAATTCCTCTTTCAACAATAAAAAATAATCAGATCAAATGACAAACTTATAATATCATTTTCGAATGTAATATTTGTCCTCCTCTGAATTTATACAAAAGCCATTGACTAACAGTGCCATTTCAAACGCCAAGTCGTTTGAATAATATTCAGAGATGTCATATAATATTTCCGGAAATATTTTGGATATAACACAAATTTTGAAATTCCTATTGAAGTATCACATAAGGCAATTGGTCACTTATTTCTGTTTAATGTAAAGATCGAATCTTTATTTTAGGAGACGGTTCTGGTTAAAACAAAGCAAAGCGATTAAGATAACATGTCTCTGTTGTTGTGTTTATGAAGCATGCGATAGATAGCATTAATCCTATAAAGAGTCGGTACTGATACGTAGTATCTATTTAATGAAAATCAAACAGGATACACGTTGATACATAACTAGGCCAGCAACATGTATATTAATTTATATTTCGTCCGATAATGTTTACAATTATTCAGGTATATTTGTCGTCTCTTCTTTGTATTCCATTTTCATACAATTTTCATATAGTGCATTGTATCAACTTAACGTACAGGAAGCTGTGTTTTCTACTAAATAGCTTTTATATTCTATAAATATAGACGCGGTTATTTTGTTCCATGTTGTCTGATGATATAAAATTTCAGTGAATGAGAGCTATGCTATCTTTTTAGTTCGTTTTAGTTACTAAGCGTTTGTTATTAGTTGTTACATTTTGTAAGACCTACTTAGTGTTAAGATACATACATGTCTTTAAAACATAATTGGCAACTAGTCTTTTTACCCTCCTAGACTTACTGGAGAGTGATGTTGCCTTTCAATTGTTTCGGTATCTCTCATGTTTCTGTTTTATTTCATCTAAGTGCAAAATTTGATTTTTGTGTGTTGCCGCTATGGGTCATTTTTCATTTTGCGTAAGGATTTGTAATAAAATAATGCATTTTCTTTCAATTTGCATGAACATTTTCATTTCCTAAACGTATAAAATGCACACATGTAATTTACTAACGCTTTATTGACATTATTGATTAATATACATTATGATATATATATGATCAAATATCGGTTTTAATCAGCCATAATCCGTACCTTTAAATGTTGATTCTTGAATTTTAAGATACACAGTTTTCGCATTTAATATGTGAACTTTTGCTGTCTACATGAGGTACTACTGTCGTAATTAATCACGAAAAAGATCAAAGATTTACCTTATCATGAATGTCATAAAGGGTCTCAAGGTCGTTATTGATCATCGGGTCGGACCAGAAGGTAACGCTGGTTAGGTAAATAGGGGGATTGCTCACACCTGGGCGCCTCTATACTTCACGGGAATTCATACCCCAGTAAGTCTCATTTTTGCCCACGCGAAAGCATTTTATTTCATAATAGGTTATAATCGATCTAGTGTCTTCGGAAGTAGTCAATATATTTCGTGTGTTGATTGAGATCATAACAATTACGAGACCAACAAAACACTACTTTAATCATATACAAGCTTCAAAATCACTTTTTATGTATTTTAGTTAAGTTTATTTAATACTATGTATTTATTTGTTTCTTTTTGTGATAATTTAATGTACAAATGAACTACGCAAATCCATTGTACACAAAAGATCTGTTCAGGTTCAATTCAATGCGACGGACAAAATTCAAAATTGTATCACATGTCAATTAATGGGAAACAGGTGTTTCTACGTAGATGATTAAACATGGGTAATGTATAACTTAAAGTCCTTATTGTTTTTTTACGAAGAGGTTATAATCATCATTAAGAGGGGCCTGATTTCAATTTCCACTGTTTAAGACATACTCATAAATCGTTGATCCATGGTAGACTTTCATTGGTTGGAAGAGAGACAGCATGATGGTTGCCACATGGGATGCAGGAAATACTGATATGACCTGGTCATTTTATCATAAAGAAAAGTTGTTTTTTTAAATAGAAGAATTTCTGAAAACAATCGTCAAATTTTGAATGAGTGACAAAAAAGTAAAGTAAAATTACATACGATAAAATGCATTGCTTCATATATTTATAAATATTTAATATACCACGTTTTCTTTTACAATCAAACATACCGGTATCAAAGTCACTAGAAAGATCTAAAAGGGGTTTTCAAGATATCAATAAAATGGACCTATATTGTCTTTTTTTTTTAATCTTCAATATATCATTTTCGCAATAACCAGTTCAACTTGCGTGTAATTGATTAATGATAAAAGAAATCATAAGTTGGTCCAAGTTAAAATTTATCTGTTAACAAACCTATTACCTATCTTCCACATAAAACAGACTTTTCAATTGTTATTTGTTTATTTAATGTCATTTGATCAACCGAAAGAATGATCGTTTTGATGATGTCTGCAAATGAAAATTCAATATAAAAAAAGGAGAAGAGATATTTTACACATTTTATTTTTGCAGTAATACAGTATCCATACCAAACATTTGCTTTGTTCGAACTGAATATTCAAAATATAGCTAGAACAGATTTGATAAAAAAACGCCTATCCCCTATCATGTCATGGATATATATGTTTATGTATATTATGCATGTGGAATTGTTCTGAAAGGTAAAAAGCAAAGACAGATTTTTGTCACAATTTGAGTGTTCGATATATATCGTAAATGTCTGATATGGTTACTACCCCACTTTATATTAAACAAAACTGTGTATCTGGCGCATCATTAAAAGTGATTGTCAAAATTTTTGATTACATTATATGAAATGTCTAAGATTAAACAAGGTTTACACACATACAACATCTGCACAAACAATGATTATGCACAGTATAAACAATATAAATTTCGGAATGCAGAAACAATGATAAAAGTCGTAACAAAACAACACTGTCCATGTGTTCTTGGAACAAAACACGGCAGAGGTCTGACTTAACATAACACCGGTACTGAATTGTTTGTCACCACAATAGGTGTATACGTCACCACAATAGATGTATTTGTCACCACAATAAGTGTATACGTCACCACAATAGATGTATTTGTCACCACAATAAGTGTATACGTCACCACAATAGATGAGTATGTCACCACAATAGGTGGATACCTCACAACAAAAAAATGTCAAAAAAAAGATCTTACAGTACTGTAATGGGACTAATAATTGGAAAATTCGTTCAGGGAAAGTATTAGATAGGAAAGCTACATTATATTGTAGGATGTTATGTGTCCGCCGATATCTTCGACAGCAGATTTAAGGTAAAGCGTTTTTGGAAATTTTCGTATCATTATTTTGAAGATATTGTACCCTTAATTGTTACTTAGTTATATTTAACAAAATGTTTAACAAAACTTGTAACGACACAACATTGTAAGTCGACCATTGTTTATGATATTTAAGGGAAAATTGTTGACGAAACTGAACGAAAAAAATAATCATAGAGTATTTTTGGTATATGTCTTTTCGTTATCAAGGAACGTGACGCAAAGTGTAACACACACATCAAAGGCCATGTTTAAACGGGAGTGACCTCCCCTGTAACACATCATGTAATTTTATATTTGTCAACATATACATGTCACGTAGATATTGTGAACGTAAGAATGTGATATTCGAACACAAAGGTAAACACAATGATTATCTCTATGAAATTAAATTTTTAATTTAAATCCCTCCGAAACCTGGGTATTGACAATGTCAACAGAATTTAATATGGGATTTACGAAGATCACATGAAGCCAATCAAGAAACAAATATCATAACAATGAATCGATAACGCTTCAAACGTTGTAATCGTGGATTTCTCATACATATAACAAAACCAGCATTAGACTGGGGCAATATTACTGCTACTTTCATCAGAAACGACAGACCGTAAACAAACTGATTTTCTATCACCATCGTTTCTGTTCATAAAACACTTGGGAAAATTGCATCCCTAAAACAAAGAGAAGTAATTCTCAAAATGTATGAGTGTGATTGTTATTTTTATTTTTTTGAAAAGAAGCAACCATCAGTAGTTGTGAAATACTGATGGTCCAAATTTGAACTCTTTCATCGTTATTTCATCGGCCATGTCCGTCTTTATTTATCACGTTTCACTAGATAACGCTCGTTTTATCAATAGTAGTGAATGTTGATCGCCTAACAATCTACTTTGTGAGGTATATTTGTGAGTATTAAGCTTCGTGATCTGAACAGCATGAAACGTTCTTATATATTAAAAGTGGAAGTCTTAAAATATTTCCCACATGTGGAGCTGAACAGTAGCGGTGTGGCTTTACGTTAGTAATCAGTAAGGGACCCACTGTTGTTACAACGTTCAGCTTAAGGTGTATTTGAATCGGGTTTTATTAATCAAAGTATATCACTTTTCGGTTTTAAATAAAATGGAAAAACAATGACGTTTAAGGATTCATAAAGCTCAAGAAATATAATACATAATGGGCAGCTATTTTGAAAGTAAAAATAATATAAATATCATTCAATATTCAGCCTTTCAATTTTTGAAGTGCTTTTTGGCAAGTCACCCTAATTTCGCAAATGTTTTTTTTTTTTTTTTTACTTTTAAGTTCACATCAATACCAGGTTATTGTTTATTACGGACAACGCGTTTGATGGGAACAGATGCTTTAGAATAAAATTACTTTATCGTGAATTACATTAAAATGGCTTTCTTAAATAAAGGGGAAAAAAAGAAAAGAAAAAATGCGGAAAACATTTTATATCATTATCATTGAATATTATGCTTTAAGACATTTACATTTGACCAATTTAACCACACAACATGATGGTATTTCATGTGACTACTTGTGAAAAGTTACGTTTACCCTTTCATCCCTATGACACTTTAGTAAACTGTACGATGCACTGATCTGGATGAGTCCATCAAGGTCTACAGCGGTGAAAGATTTAAACACATACCATTACGGACATATTAGATATTATGAGTAGATACATTGTACCCGTCTGTTGGCACATTTGTCCACGTGAATTTAAACTTAACTTTGTTATAACTTAATGATTGTTGTCAACGTTTTAAACTGACCCTAAATCATCCTACACGCATTCAACATGTTGTCATATGAAATATTGCAAAACAAAAACATCGGCAGCATTCAACAACTTCTTGTCATGCTTGCAACGCGACTAGATTACCGATTGTCTTTACGTCATGTTAAACGTTTTGTTTAATTTTTATCCTTAGAATCCGTGTGTCCTTTACCCTGCTTTCCAACATAAAAAGCACCAACAAATCTTCAAGAATATGTTCACATAGTGAACGTGTGTACTGATATCGATACCATTTAATAGTATAAACACCAAACGTAAACAAGTTGGCGATTAGTTCTTATTAACTAATAACACTTACTATCGAATATCTCTGCCAATCAGATTGGCCGTCACATCAAATCATACAGACAATGAAACTGACTGACACATCACAACCTTAGAAGTGCATAACTTAAGAAACTTCAATTTTTTGTCATTAGAAACATACTAGAATATTAAAAGTAGTGTACTTATGACGACGTTTTGGAAGTTGAAAAATGTTTTTCAACAATGGAATTTCACATACAAAGTTAATCTATGTGTATTTTTTTCTCTCTCTCTTTCCTTCCTCTCTCTCTCACTCACTATAAAATATTCTCTCCTTTGGCTAAACTGAACGATTTTGATTTGGTTTAACATACAGGGTAGTCTTGTTGTTCGTCGTAGGACTGTCTACGCCGGATTTGAGATGGACAAGGATCCTGCCTGGAAATGTAAACAAACGGAAATAATGCATCTAACTAAGTACGTATGACATTCATATTTCCTTTCAACCGAATGCAGTTCAATCAAAACTTTTTAAATTTACAATCAAGTGGAGTAACTTGATTTTTAACACAGAACCGTATATGTGCATTATATGAACATGAACGAATTTGCGAATTAAATGTAGCTTACTCTACACAGGAGCAGTTTAACTTTACCTGTCCAGGTGTGCTCTCTTGACATCACAAATCCCTGACATTCCGGGTCATCATCACATATTTTTTCCGCCTCCTTCTGATCAAAAACAGATACTGTACATCCGCTTCCTGAGAGTGACACTCGACATCTGTAGTCGTACTTGCCAGGAAGATCCATTCGGGTATAAACGTCATATCCTTGAGAGAAATTAATCATGAAACGACGGCTCTAATAGACACGAAACACTATCAGGCTATACAACGTATTCACAGTTTACTTTGATACTAATAGATAATGATAAATTCTTTCTCTAACCGAAATTAATCATCCAAGGTGAATACGATGATAAATTGAACACAAGCTCTACAGAATCCATTAGGAATTTATGAATGTATTACATTATTAATTTGGGAGATTGTCATTAATAATAAATACTTGTTATTAAAATAAGAAATGAAAATTACATTGTGATATAATATACAAATGGTTCATATTTCTTATATTTAAATTCATAGGCGACCAAGAAAACAAGCAATAACTAAAAGTAACAAATTGTGAATTTGTTTAGTAACGACACTACATACGGGAATTATTTCGGGTTTAATTAATTTACTTACGTGTTTGGTAATCTTCAGCACTTGTCCTATTGAGGTACACTCCTGACTTATATGAGTGCACTATTTTATTCATCATAGCCATTAGCTGACCAGCGTTGGCGGTCAGATTGGCGAATCCGTCAATGGTTTTGTTAATAAGTTGGCGGAGAGTAGGAGGAGCGCCGTGCGGAAGTAGATAGGTAGTGAAATGTCTCGCCCCGTTAAAGAGGTTCCTTTTTTCGTTGTAACCTACACATTTACCATGGATACATGGTAATCTGCAAAATAATTTGTAAGAAAGCCTTGAACAAAAGTATAAAAAAATATTAAAAACAATCAAAAGAAAAGTCTAATTTCGGATTTATATACACAAATGTAGAAGGAGTAGAAGAAGTTTTCCACATTAATGAAAGAAACAATACCAATATACCAAACCGAGAAGGTCAGCACATATATATATGTATTTAAATACACAATGTTATTGCAATCCCACGCTGATACATTTTAAAACATTAAGCATCGAGAAAAAATAGAGTGGATCAATACTACATTTAAATTTCTTTCAATAAAGAACTTTTACCACTGAAAAGTGCAACGATAATTAAAGCGGTTCATAAAGTGTTAAAGTCCTAGGCAAAATCAATTATGATATTTCAAGCGGTGTGAATTTGTGGAGGAATAATATTTACGTCCGATAAGTCAGAAGAATAAGGACTCTGTAGGTAATACTATGCAAAACATTAACATTGTTTATAAATAATTGATAACAGAAGACTATCGGTATTAAGTTAAAGTTCAAAAGAAAATTTCAGACTATATTGGGCAAACTGTGTGCACTTCCTCTTTTCAAATACGGATGTGACATTAGGGTGAGAACCAGTCACTCCATGATGGAGGGCTAAGCCCGAAAGCTTGGATGGTGCACGTTTAGCAACAGTGGCATCTCGTGCAATCTTGTATAACGTTTAAGCTGGAAAGAACCAGAGTGACTATAACATGGAATATGATATATATAGGATCTTAAATGAGTTTTCATTTCATATGAGATTTTATGAAACGAGTCTTAGGAGTTTTTATTTTTGCGAGCCTTGGCGAGCAAAAATGTTAACTTTGATACGAGTTTCATAAAAGCTCATATGAAATGAAAACAAATTGAAGATTCTTTTGTTTCACCTAACTCAGAAAACTTACATTTTGACAGGTTTTAAAGCCAAAATATAGAGGGCTTAATCAAACGGAGACAGCCATTTTGATGCGCCATTCACAATTTATGACGTCACGTCATTGTCAACATTATGACGTCACAATCTATTTCTGACTGGCACTGCCAATGAAAAACGCTCCAGGGTATATTACACTAGTGACATATGTACAAATATTACACGGGCGAATTCACTGAATAACAGGCCGATTATATGATACACAAAAATAACAGGATATGAATGAAAAGTCGAAGTGGTATTTCGTTAACAAACATGGCAGTCGCACAGAAGATATTCCCTTGAAGAACATTTATGACACTCTACGATGAACAACTTGTTTGAAATTGCTATCACCTCAGTACCTTTTTGTGAAATTTGAAGAGGAGAAATGTATAGTACATGTCTCACTGTCCGTACAAGACGGGTCGGCGAAGCCAGCGTCGTCCACATCCGACACCTTAAGGACGCCGTCAACCAGGACAAACTGCTGTCGCCGGAAGTCATTCATTGCCATACTACCGTACTGTGTTCGGGACATAAAATGAATGATCTTGGTCAGGTCGTAGGAAACCTTTGGAAATCAAGAAACACGTTGGTTATGATAATGCACAATTAAGTCTCAACATAAGTACATGTATATCTTTTAACTCATTTTTGACGGTCTGGGATTGAGACGATGCTATCTTCAATAAGATTCCTCAGTTTGGAAATACGTCATATCAATCAATGTTTCACTTTATTTACAACATCGTTTCAAGACTGACAAGTCCCTGACAAGACGGTTTTGAAACGTTGAGACACGTTTAATACGTACAGTGTTTATGTATAAAGTAAAAATGTGATATAAGACGATGCTATTCTAGTCAACTTGTGGATATCTTTCAGAATTAACAAGTTTTAAACTTTTCCCATTACATTTATGCATGAAAATAAATCCGATAACCTGCAGATGTGTTTATGCATGAACAAATGTGGCATATATTATGTCAAATTGGAGTCAACAATATTCTCTTCTTAATTATTGATAACAAAATTATATCCATTTGTTGGGTAATTTTGTGTAGCTGAACAATTCGACAAAAGGGCTTCTATTTGCGAATTATAATTCCTTCAACATAAAAAAGGGATACCAGTGTGTATTAACCACTAACCATAACGCAAAAATTCAAAACGACCCGCAAAATAAAACAGTTTAGACGTTTGTAACCAAATTGAGTTTTTCCTCGGAGAGGAAGTAATAGAGGATATCAACAGATTTCATGATTTTATATATGTACAGCTGTGTTACATGTATACGTTTAATTGGGGCAAAATCTGTCATCACTTTTTTTCCCAATTCTATTAGCAACTAAAAAAATTGCACCAAGCTGTTATAAACAAGTTTATAAAGCGAACAAGTCGAATATACGTGCATGGCGTTTTATAATTAATCACACGTATGCCTTTTGTAAACACTACTGGGAGATATATAGCGAATTACTAATATTTAGACGTTTTGCATTAATCTCTGACATTTTCGGCTCTGTGTTCAGTCTAAACATTGCTGATGGGGCATAGCCCCTGTCCCGTTATCTTAGGTTAGGCTAACAGCCCCCCGGCCCAATCCTCGGAGGCAGACATACCCCGCAGCATCTGTAATCGATCAAGTCAAATCAAGAGGCACTACAGGGGGTAACACATTTAAAACATTCAAGTAAAAAAAAGTTTTTAAAACGTGCAGTACATTTGAAAAGTTTCTCGAGTGTGTTACACATTTGAATTTTTTTTTGTCCCAGTTTTGTTAAAATACATCATTTAAACTCCGCCGGCACTTCAATACAAATTCTTTACAGGTTTTACAAAAATTGAAAAATAGTTTTATCATGATTCGTAAGATTTATTAAAATTTTACAAAGTAATAACGAAAAATCAAATTTATAGATACGGATCAAATTAAGGGTCTGATTTAAATGAAATATCCAGAAAAAAAGCTGATACCTAGAAGGAACCGTTTCACTGCTGTGATCATTTGATAGGGACAGAAACAGCAGATGTACTTTCTCTCATCTAGACATGAATTATAGCACCACAAGTCAGCTTTTGTTTCATTAAAATCTCTGACTACGTCCCGAAATAGAGCGATCACTCGGCGTGGATAGAGAAAAGAATTTTTACTATGCGTCGGACGAAGATTTTCAAACATATATCTTCATTAAGGAATGATCACTGAGAAATGGCGCATGTCGCAACATCTTCAACAGATGCCGGTAATTTAATAAAGATATATTATTCCAATATCCTTAGCAACACGTTTAAGTCTCTATCATTGCGTTCTTTCTTATCAACTTCATGATATATCCAGTTTGATACAATTTGGTAGAGTGTGTCAAGAACCCGTATTCTTTACTCTTTGTATGCAGTATGTAATTCAAGTTGAACGTGTGAACATGCTTTATTTTCATTAGTTCTGACACGTAGTACATCATCCCCGATAAGGTCCGTGTTTACCGAATGGCACCTTCGTCAAAGTGCCATTCGGTGGTCGCCTCTGCAACATCCTAACTATTAGCTCAACATTTTGTCTAGATTTATGACGTAAATCCATGATAATGTTCGCCTGACTATCGGTCGTTTATCCTCGCTGTACAGTGTTCCCTTACCGTATCTGGTTCTGTAAGTTAGTATCATATCTCTCCGCCCGTAATTTATTAGTTATGTGCACTCTGAATGCACGGCAGGATGTACGCAGCAAATTTTTTAGAGCTTTTATTTATGTTTTTTTTTACTGAAATCTATCAGAGAGTTTGAGAAATGTTTTAACATTATGGTAAAGTTACGTTTTATCGCGTCTTGGCTATGTCTGGAGTTCTTTTTTTTATTTTTATTACTTAAAAAACTGTATTCTAATTTCTTTTATACTAAGTGAAATAGACAAAAGCGTATATCAGAGCGTGTGCAAACGGCGAAGAAAATCATACCTCTGTACGAAAAGAAAATACCAGAAACCGAGGATTCCCCGAAGCAAAATGAAAGACACGATGAACCCTCACAAAAGGGAAGGGGGTTTAAACAATGGAATACTCAGGGTTTCCAGTGTCCCATGTGTGGCACCCGTGATGATGTCTCTTACTTAACCCACGTTACTACGATCGAAGACACATAGCGTAATGGTTACGATGCACTTTTTCAATATCGCATATTTGTGAAATCGCAAACGTATACAGACTGTAGCAATAAAATAATAAATCATGACCGAAACCTGTGTATGTTTCAATGCTATGAATTTGGCAGAATTAAAAATAAATAATATTAAACTACATCGTAACCTGCAAATTTGTAAATATTAAACTAATTTAACATAGAGGATGATAAGGTACCTCTACTTAACGAAAGTCTCGTGCTACAGAAGTGCATGTCTAAATATTTACATTATTTACATATCCCCACCCTGTATGTGGCTGTATATCAATATCAGTGTCTAACGTCGAAATTCAGAACACATGACAGAGATGTCTAAATGGTGTTATCACCATAACAGTTTAAAACAAATTCATCAATATACCATTCTCTTTCTGTCAAGCTGACAGTGTGTCAGGTAACGCTTGTTAGCTTAAACGGGAAAATACACTTGTAGCCCTCCAATCCCAATACACCATCTGTCCTTCCACTAATGAGAGAGTCTCTTATCTTTATCTCATTTTAAGTAGTCCAGGATGGACATACATCCCTATCTTTCTTCTTCATTTCCCATACCAAATACATTTTGAGAAAAAGTTTCACCAATTAGCACGCGACTGGAAAGTATTTAATACTTCAAAACATTCGCTAGATACCTACTGTATTGTGCTTATCTTATTGGGATATACATTAATTTACTCGTTAATTTACGTGAAAAGTCTATCTCAATTTTAGATATCCCTTCAATGTATGCATGAAGTTTGAACCAAATGGATTAACTAACTTCTTTCTACAATATAAATAGATAAAGCATTATTTAGAAGGCAACTTTCAAAAGCCGATACGAAGAGGCACGCAAAGAAACCGAGGAGATACCAAAAGTACTAGATGAAAGCAAAGCAAGGTCTGGGGAAATTTCGACCCTTTACAAATGCCCCGCCAAGGTAAATCTTTTAGATTGTGTTGTTTCATGTAAGTTCAGATTTGTTCAAATATTTTCAAAAAGCTATGCTACAGTAGAAAGTCTGAATTACTTACAACAACATCAGAGTAAAACACGTGTTTACGAACAGGTCATTTGCACGAGAACAAAGACAAAGGTTATTTTGGAAACTCATTAAATGCCGAATGCAATGAAACGAAATGACCACGATGAATCCGTTGATATAAACATCGGTGATGCTTATGCCTATTCTCGTCTTTTTTTCCCTTCTCTTCTCCGTCAAATAGTACTTACCCTGAGACGATCCTCCCAAGACATCTGCAATAGTTTGATGAGGTTGACGGTCTCCCCAAGCTCTGTTATCATGGCAACGCCCTGGACGTTATTGTTAACGCTTGGTACGCAGAATCCCAACACCTGTTGATTATAAGATGTGAACAAATACACTACAAGGAATAGGCTCGCACAGTTGGTAAAGTTGGCACTAGAAAGAATACAAATGAACAGTGTTATCTTTAAGTCAATGCATGTCCAATCCACAATTAATGACAAAATCACCAACTTTCATATAAATTACAGTGCAATTAAAACATCTCGGATGCCCATTCCGAAAAAAAAAACGGACTTTTTGTTAGTACTATACTAAAGAGTACATGTGCTCGTGTAAGCTTCTAATCAGGATTTGGGATTTATAACTCATATGGTGCGTTTTTAACATTTATGTTCTATACCACAATGAACGTACAAATACATATATATAGAGAGAGAAAAATAAGATTAACGACCGACTAAAAATTGTTTACAATACAATTTGATATATATACAAAATTGGTATAAATTGTACTTGTACGCAATATGCACGTACAACGTATATAGATGTATTCATGTTTGTTTATTTATATTGTGTTTTTTGCAGTTCGAGTCATATATTATTCTTTGTTATATGCCAGATTGGATAGAGATAAATCTGTAGCCATGATTTTAAAGATAATCAATATAACATATGTGTATACGTTGTAAGCCATACCATGATACTAATGTCGAGTGACATTATCTTTGTTAGCTTGTGAACATAGTTACAATTTATTAGTAAATGTTTACAATACAATTTGATCATTTATTTCAAATTGATATAAAGTAACAAATAAATTTGATAATAGTACCATTACATGTATAAAGTATACTGCAGTATATGTGTATAATGGTCATATTCAGAATTTAAAGCTGTCAAGACTTGTACATTTTCCGCCTTAGTCTACAACACTCGGAACAAATAGAGACGTAGCACTTATCGTACGAGGCGCTACTGAGATAACATCGTTCGGAACCTACCTTAATAACGTTATCGTGAGCAAGTGCCTGCAGCACCAGTATTTCCTTGACAATCTTCTGCGCTGCCTTGTTATAGCAATACGACGGTGTAAACCCTCGGCTTACGCACGTCGATACGTCTTGGCCCTTAATATCCACGGTCTTAATAGCGATCGATTTGCCTTTATACCTCCCACTGTACACTGCCTTGGTCCAGCCAGACGCTAAGTACTTTCTTTCAGTAATATTGACAATTTCATCACAACCTATAAAGTCTTTCGATGACGGCTTGTCAAGTTGACTTGTGCCTTCCATCCTCATACCATATAATCCACTCTCCGACGACTTTTCCATCAATTTTCTCAGCCGGCGTTCGAATCCATTGTAATTTTCCAGAAAATTTAATCTCCATGCACTGTCAAGTGACATATCCTTGAAAACAGAATCCGAGTGTGGATCGTGCTGATTGTATTTTATAGTTCCCCCGGGATCAACCATGTTTTCTTCCTCCAACCCATTGAATTTTCGGTGTAGTATCACAACATTAGCGAGCAATATAAGTCCAATGGAAAATAAACAAATCTGCTTGACATTTCCCAAATGTCGTCTGCTCCGTAATCGGCAGGCCATTTTTGTGGTGTTTTATCTTTTAATAAATTAGATGAACTGGTACAAACCAGCATAACACAACATCACAAACCCATAGGCAGGGAAGATACACAGTATTCTGTTCTGTCGTGAGCTGTATAATCTCCCGCCCTTACCTGCGAGCAGACGACACATCGCGTCGTGTGTACATCCATCACACCGCTAGCTGACCCTAGCACAGGCCTTCCTGTAGCTACGCTGTCATTTCCCCTCCTTAGTTTCTGTCGTGACACAAGGTCGAACCTGTTGACAAGCTCGGTGGAGGAGCTCTAAGACCTTTGGCCTAAAGATGGGAAGGAGTCTATCGCCACTGGCATGTCATTCTGTAAGCTCTGTAACGACAAAACGAACTTGAGTGAGTTCATCTTAAAACCCGCAATCTTATCGCTACAACTTACACCAATCCGTGCGGCGTTAACTCATGTTTAGTAAATTAGATTGTTTAAAGAAATATCTTTCGTAATCTTAAGAATTTAACAATTCCATTACGTTCTCAGCGATAAACGGTAAAACTGAACACGTACTTGCCATTTGAGGTCACTCATTGATTTACACCTAAGACGTAAATCGTCGTTTTCGCACTAAAATAAATCTTAACTCCACGTGCAACCTTCTTCACGTGCAATCTAGAGTTAACTAAAGCGCATGGAGTGCAGAGGAATGCTGTCAGAGCATGCTATAGCTCATATTCCAAACAAAAGAATACTATATAGACAACCTACAAATTGTATGGAAGAGCACAAGACATTCGAGAACAAGAGAACATTAATGCCAAACTCATCTTATCCATAGGTGTTTTGGAACGATCTACAAAATCGATACAACTGCGTGTATTGTCTGTACCTTACAGCTATGTAGTCGACTAGGGACAGACCCCGTAGAGCAACAATACGAGATGAAAAATCTCCCACTACTTCGGTTAAGTACAGATTATACTGTAAAACACACAAGCAATTTTCCAAACGTGACAGTACATTATAACACACAGAAGATATGGGATTGTATTTTTAAACTGGTTCTTAGCAAATAGCGCTGAATTATAGACGACAAACGATTCATAACCCAGAAGGTCACATTATCTTCTGCTTAACCAAATTCTACGCTGGATTTACAACGTTTTAACTATTAGGGTATAATACCGATAAAAGCTTTTTACCACTTTGTAATGAAGTCAAAATATCACAGCGCTAACAAGTCCGAACCCAATGTCGATAGAAAATAGACAGCAACTTTAACAGAACAAACACCAAAACGAAAGGGAAGCCACCTTAAACCTCAAACATAAACTGGAGGCTAGACCAGGCTCTCAGTCACCTTAAACCTCCACAATAAACCGGAGGCTAGACCAGGCTCTCGGTTCCCTTTAACCTCCATAATAAACCGGAGGCCAGTCACATTAAACCTCCACAATAACCCGAAGGCGAGACCAGACTCTCAGTAAGGTTAGGCGTTTCTTGCACCTCTTGTGGTTCCCATCATGATGATTCCAGTCGAATACAAATCAAAACAAGGAAGAATAGAAGGTAACTAACGATATAAAACCCTGTAAAAGAGTCTTTTATCATGGTAGATTCTTGAGTGTCATAATTGAACAGAACATCAATTAACATGCATAGACTTAACATTGACAAGATAAGATATAAGAATATAACATGGTAAACAGATGTACTTACAAATAGTTTAATATTTCGGTGATTAATAACTTTCTAAATATAATAAGCGATGGCATTTATAGACATTTACGTACTATCACAAAAAGACCACGGAACAATATTAACATTTTAAATACATTGCATATCACGGAATTGTAATTAGTTATGCAATTAGTAGCAACAAGACAAAGTCATTTAGACATGAAAACATTACGGCCGTCTTATACGGCATATTAGGACGGAATAGTTATTAAGTCCGGGTTTTATGACCATGTATGTAGATTCATATATATTATTTATATATATAATCACATATATCACATTTGTCTGTTTTACAAACTACACATCGCATACCTATATTGTAATTTATGTATTCATACATGTGAATACTTCTTATTTAAGTGTACTTAATGTCCTTGAAATAAAGCAATACGTATTTTTTTCATTTCTTTTCTTTTGTCACAGTCAAACATCACAAACAAATCAACGACAAAATAGACAACAGTGTAATGTGCCACAGTGCGCTTGCATAAAATGAACTGTTTTATAAGGAATACAATACGTTCCGTTAAAAAATCAATACTATTAGCGTTTAGCATATATAAAATTCCAATGTCAAACATTTCAGTATATTGATTCACAAATAGTGTACCGTGTATATTACCTCTTTGACCGATACACAAATAGTTATATAGTTTCTACGTCACTGAAACCCTTTGATATAGTATACTGTAACTACCTTATACTTGTTCTTACTTTAATCTAAGACAAGGATGGAACCATGTGTACAAAACGACCTGGAACATTAGGCATATATATGTGTCATGTTCAGCTCATTACATCCATTACAAAAAGTAGAATATAGACCGATAACTCGAATTCTTATACGAAATGGTTTACTGTCGTTTGTGAAATTCAGTGATGACCAGTTGTGCCGTATTAATTGAAAACATTTTTTTTTTTAATTAGTATGTCGATGCACAAAGTCAAACAAAGTAAATAACTTTACTGCAGCATATAGCCATTTCGTCCTCAAGAACTCATCAGCGGTCCCAGTACTCAAAAGTCAAACGAATGAAAATACACACCGAAAATGTTACGAAACAGAGGTAGAAATAGCTTAAGTGGGATGGAGCCTTTAAAACCCTAAATAAAGTCACCAATTTACAACTTTCGAATAAAATAGATGAAATATTGTTAAAATTAGTTTTTAATATCAACCGTGCCAAAATAACACCGTGCTAAAAGATTACGGTCAACCAATGGGACCAGCAGAGCAATCCACCTTTTAACGAAAACTGATCACTAGAAATACGAGTAAGGAACCACCTTTCAAATCACTTTCCAAACATTCGAAGTTATTATACATAGCATCACGTACATTGTATATGTATACATTGCATGATTATAAAAAAAATACATAAAGGATAACCTATTATCATTCATTTTAAGTAAACTATCTATTTTTCTATAGTTAAAATTACTGTTTCATTGTTTTATTGGAAACTAAAACTATGAGTGAATCAATGTCCAGTGGTCAACAGATTCACGAAGAAATCCACAAACTAGTGTTGTTACTACAACATACCACTTAAACGTAGACACGGAGTTAAACTTTATACAAAACGTCCTTAATAGGCATTTGACCTATATTTACGTCAAAAGATTTAATTTACCACAATACTTATAGGTTTCTCGTGTCAAGGCTAACAACCGTTGTTCAAAATCCTGACGTATTGTTTTGCCTTTTCCACACAGTTTTTTAACAAAACATCCCCCAGCATTCAGAGGGCGTAATTTTATATCACAGTGCATTCGTCATATAGTGACCTCCGGCTCCAGAAATTCCATTTCGCTGACTGTCTTCTTACACTTGTTCGTGGTTACTAGATGCACGTTAAGAGCCGCTCTGTTAAAATTATCTCCCATAGTTATCTGGAAACTTTAAGCCGGGGTGTATTAATCGGAATAAACCATTCACCATCTGGTGTTTCAGCAGGTTACAACAAATACCTTGTGACGACTAGATGTAGGAACAAATGGATATCGTATATCGTTCATTAACAAGTAGACACCCATTTCTATACAAAGTTATTACACATACGTATGTCACAGACACGGTTGCAGAGAGCCACCTTGATGAAAGACACACTGTATGTCTATAGATATAATTCTACAGCAATCAATGGAAAAACACATTTACGATCAAATACAATGAATTCTGGTTTTCATCCCTTTTTATTAATATATATATACATATATAAAGGAAGTATGCTTGCTTATTGAATACTGATATTATTTAAACTCACTGACGATTTTATAATCTTTAAGCACTAGAATCGTAAATGCCAAGTTCACCATATTTTCAAACAGAAGAAATAACACATCAGTACGTGTTTTGTTGTCTGCATGGGAGAGTGTCATTTGAGACAAACTACAGATAACAAATATTAAAGTAATTATATAATATACACGAATCCATCATATCAAAATAAATGTGTTAAACTTACAAACCGTAACAGGTTATTGACACAAGGAAGCATCAACGTGGAAAAAACAAGCATCGCCATGTCCCCAAAACATCGCCAACGAACAAAGGTCCAACGACAAGAATTAAGACAGTGATACACAGCGAAAGAAAAGAGTTGTTTCTCATACCTTTTCTTTTTGTCGTGCTCAGGGTAGATTTTCTCGGGTTGTCAAATTACAACAAAGCCCATCGACTCAGTTAAAGAATGAAATTAGCGATTTCCTGGGCGATGACAGGAGCCCAACTGTGCTTTAGAACGCTGAAGTCTGCCTCCTCGATTTAAGCCCGACCCGTACAGCCCTCATTACTGCCGAGCTTTAGCTATAGAAGGGTCCCTAAGCCCACGTGAGAAAAAAATCCAATTTGTGAAGCAAGTGTAAAGATGTCATTTGCTAACAACTACTACAGCGTAACGAATACCAAGTGTGTTTTATTTGTTAAACACTACAGCGAAACGAACTGCAAATTGGACTACATCTTCTGTGCTAACTAGATCAGCTTAGAGTGAACTGTATTGAAACGGGTCGAATAACGGCATGTACTCATCATTGAAGTGTAGCTGTAGGATAGTGTATCCCCATTGTACAAACTTTGAAGAGGCACTCCGAACAGTATCAGAGTATAATACACGTGTGTACTCGTACGATTCTTTTCCATCTTTGCACTCTTATGTTAGCACACGCAAAAAAATGCATTTTAACTTTGTACAACAGTTGTTTAGTAATGTTATGTTGAAAATACTGTAAAATGTATGTTCAAGACAAAAATGCGGGGTTGTAATTTTTTAAATTAAATAATGTACATATTCACGAATTTATTTATTTTGTGCAGTCGCCATTCATTGTTATCATGTTAAAAGAGTACTCGTTCATGAATTTATCAGGTTCGATCATCTGAATAAAAAAAATTGCCTTGTCATTCTCGGATGAATAAATGTCCCCGTAAGCTGATATGATGAAACCACATAGCGCTAATCATGTGTCCTAATGTTATGGATGATGTGTAAATTTGAAGGGAACATCTTACCCGGAACCTTAGATTTATTAATGTTTATGATATTTACTTAACACTTCACTTACGAGGAGTACACGACAGGAATATTGTGTCCGACATATCAAATTTGCCCGCGTGCGTGTCACCTTTCGTTCTATTTACACTTGTCACCATCAAGAACTATTTACACGATCATAACGCAGGGTAATCCAGCCATAAACGGAGGGACCGCTTTTTTTCATTTCATCGTGTACCTAGCTCTGATGACTATATGGATTCTTTAATAAATCCAATTAAAACGGGCGTTTTCTATTTACATACCAATGTGAGCTTCAGTCCGATTAAACAATAAGCCGTTAAACTTGGGAATAATTGGGATGGTAAAAATAGAAAAGCTTGAAAGTATATTGACAAAAGTAAATCGAATGTCACTCCAAAAGTGCAAAATTTGACACGATATGTCATGCATTAAATTCACACAGCAGTGTGAACATACTCCAGTGTTTGCTGTATACTTCTTTTCGATTGGATGGGATTGAAAATAATACTGTGAAATGAGATATTTTCGAGAGGCCCAAATTTCGTGGTTTCCCAACGAAGTAACATTTCGTGGGTACATTGATTCGAGAAGTATGAGTAACGACGCAAACACAGAATTGCTTTATATCAAACTTGCTATAACTTTGTCGACCTATGAATTCGTGATTACTCACGAAATCAACGAAATTAAAAAGCCTACGAAAATTAATGATTTCACAGTATTTTGCGAGACAGATTATTGCTCGTGAATTTGACTGTGATATTTAATATCTCGTGAACATCAACATGTATTGCATTGAAATTAATTTACGTACGTTATTTATTTGTTTAAATTCAAACTATTCAAAACAAAAGTCGTTAAAAATTACAACTTTGTGAAAATAAATGATCGCGAGTACGAAGCAATCTACAGCATGTCGTATGTTCTTAAAAGATGTATACGCGGTCACAAATGGATGCATATTATAATGAAATAAAGATATAGGAAATATTACGTCCCTAGTCTAGCTAAATATATCATTTACTATGTACATAATGTATGCAATAACCCATAAAACTGAATGTTTAATGCCACGAAATACAAAGACAACAAGATATTATGGCGGACGGCATTTTCTCATCAGTTCTCACATACTTGGTATCAAACCTCAGAACGGACTCTCAGCTCAACTGCAGAGCTTACAAACCTGTGATAATACTATACCCTGTGGAAATAAGTGTCTAAAATCCATAAGGAATGTATATATTAACTTTATCTTGCAAAATCTGTCTTCCCGGTTTATCCCTTTATCAAGTGAAGATCTCTATAAATTACATAAAGCAGCTTACACCCGACTATTAAACATTAAAATGAGGTGTAGAGTTGTGTCTGCTTAGGATATAAATTTGATATTCAGTTTTGTTAATAAAAAGCATTATATATTTTAATCGACGTTTTGTGTGCATTTTCTATTGCGTAAACTCTACACCAAAAACACAGACATTATTCATCAGAGTTTCCGAAGGATATTCTTCAAGATAAACAGATAGTGTCATATCATTATTTACCGTCAGACAAGCATAACAAATGAATATATTTAAATTTTAAGCAGTAATTTCCACGCTAAATCAATAATATGTATAAAATAAACATCTGAGCAATGCATACAGCGACTGTATGCTACGTTTTAGGTGAGGCAGATGTATCCCCGCTGTCATTTCCGATATTTAAAATAACAAAAAAATGTATCATCTATGGTATGACTCAAGCCCTGTTATTGACAGTTTAAGCTGACAATGCATATAAAAGCCCTCATATAAGAAGTCTTAAACGTAAACAACAGCATGTTAGCGGGTCGGAAAATCTACAGATTCTGAATTGTAAAAAGTAGACACAATTCCCGAATGATTTCGGTTAGACTTTGTATGCAAATTCTTGTAATACGAAAACTCACATAACCCTAACTTCCATGTATTTCCAATTCAGAATCTCAAGCACAAAACATGCGTCAACATCCCATAATACTAATAGAAAGATTAGCAACTGTGGAATTTGTATATCTGGAGCGTTTCAAATTAATTCTGTAATTTTTAACCATTTAGTCATCGCTTTTGTTCAGTGACCAGGACAATATGCCCGCTTGAAAACATAATTTGTCACAGGCCACGTAATCGCGATTTCAAAGATAGTCATTAATTATTTATATTCTTGTTTGATTGTTACGACACATTTTAGATTGTTTTACGAATCGCAGACAAAATGGTTCTCAAACACACTTCATCGCTTTAACACTAACGACTGCCATTGAAAGCCTAATGTTTGCCGCAGCGTTACTGTAATACACAAAAACAAAATCCAAACTCAAAAATATATTTGAATATAGGACTGAAACGATTCATTTAATCTAATGGTATCGTGATACTCTCTTGGTGTGCATTGCATCGAATTTTGCTTGTCTGGATTGCAGTACACTTACAATACTGAAATTATCAATTATTTTCTTATTTAACTCTAACTTATTATACTGTCAGTAGAAAGTGTGTCCGCTGCCAAGGCGTACCCGAAAGTACTAAAACTCATAGAAAGATATAACGTGGAGAAAAAGAAAAACAGGAACTAAAAAAATACAAATTGCTCAATTAGATCGTGTCAAAGCTCAATTAAATCGTGTTCAAAGCTCAATCAAATCGTGTTCAACGTTCAAGACTATTTCTCCTGCGTCTGACTTGTTCTGTGACATTGTCTATATATAGTATTTCAAAAATGCAAGCTTCAAGTACGTTTAAATATTACACATTTTCCTGGAAATAAGTGAACAAATTTATCTACAATATGCAAAAGTCAATGTGTGGTAGCCCCATAAACAAGCCACTGGGGAAATGTAATACACATTCATCGCTCAAACTGAATTGCTTTACAAGTAAGTCGACATGAACAACAGTTGTAAATATGATGTTTTGCTTGAAAGCGACTCTTAAGCATGACGACCATTGTATTTCTTGAAAAATGCCACAACAAAATACCAATGACAAATGCATCGGTATCAGATGATACAATTACGATAGAGTCAAGAATACAAGGGCGTTGGTACATGTACATTCGGCACATCATATGCAATACACATTGCATGCAGTTTTAGATTTAGATGGCTTGCTTGTTTCCAGGTTGATACTAATACCTGCGTTCCTGCACGAACATTGAATAAACTATGATAATTACGTCACTATTCTTCCAATCTCCCATCACGAATCTGTTATTCCATCAAATCGTTGTCTGTAACTCCCACGGGTCCAAGGTAATCCTCTCTATCGAATATTAACACTAGACGCTGGTATAGAGTATAGAAACTCCGTCGTTAGGCTCGGCCTGTAGACGTTCAAGGTCGATATCACCAATATTGTAATACTCTCATTCTCTTAGTGCCTATCTTCATAGTTGCAATAAACGTACAATTGTATATTGCAAAAATGATTCGTTTTTCCAATATCTTTGGCACACAATTATCTAGATTAAGAATAATGAAACGAGCTCTGCCAATATCGATGGTATACAATTATATTGATTTAAGACATGGAAACACGTTCTGATAATATCGATGGTACATAATTATCGAGACTTTGAGTATTGAAACCTGTATGAATTCAGAATCGATTTCATGTTGGAACAAATCCGGTCTTTAAATCTGACAAAGATCAGCGATACACCGATATACTCTTTCACATCATAGATATCGAGACAGCAGATAATTTTGGTCATTTTTTTCACAAAAGAATTCGTGATACAAAATCATTTCCCACAAAATTTAAAAACATGTTTTACCCAAATGAACACATTCCATACCTCCAAAAATCTCAACACGATTCTTGTGTTAGACATGCCTAGACTATGGAAACATTCGTCGAAATCCGGGACCAGCCTCCGTACCAGCTCGCCATCTTGGTGCTACTGCCAAAGGTCGTTGTGCCGTTTCAGTTGGGTCCTGATATACTACACGTTATCTAGCCGTGGGTAACGAGTGTCTTGCCCCATTACCTATTGGAATCAGAATGCTGCCAACAACGGCACAAGCCCGAGTTCATTGATGGTTGCGTAAAGCCGCATTCTCATTGATAAATGTGTATAACGGCAGTTTACCGATGATTACGTATTGAATAGAACGATATACAAAGGGCAATACGCCGAGGTTACTGTTCAGTATTGACTATATAGCCAACGACAGCCTGTGAACACACAGTACATGTTGATGGACAGTCAATTGTGATTGCGGTACAGTAACTGTATATCAGATGTGATCGAAAAGCAGACCACAGGGAGCTGAGAATTTGTTGCAGCTATATTTAGATCTAAACTGAAGTGTTCCGAGTAATATTACAACGTTTAAGGAGTTAAGATCAACTTTCGCTAGAAATGTCATCCCCGATAGTGATATATACGAGCCACTCTCAATGATGATATATATATTCGTATATATATCAGCACAGAAGATGGCTTTTTATATCGAAAGTTGACCAAAGCCTCTTAAACGTGTGATATTACTCGGAAAACCCAAGTTTTGGTCCAAATAAAACTGTAACAAATTCACAAGTCCCTGTGAACAAGACCAGCCTTTTATAACACTGTTTACCGCTACAGTCATACTGAAGCGTCCAATAGAAAATGTACACATTTATCATGGAGTTTCCATAAAAACGGTTATTAAACCTTGATCTATAGAGTTGGATCGAAAAAAAAACGAGTCTTCTTTTTTATATCAAAATTATTTCTGTCGTTGGTGCAAGAGGAGGAACAGTTCCATTCTACAAGTTTGAATCCTCATTGCATTGATTGTTCCCAGAATAAAGGTCGTCCATATAGATAATAGGGAGAAGAGAAGAGCAACGAGTATGGCTGAAATCTATAAATAGATGTGTAATAGTACTGAGGTACCAGCTAACATTACAAAATGGTTGTAGTCAACAATATTACAAAAATTGATAAAAAAAAATGTAAAAAGAAGGTTGCCATAACTACAGTAAAGTGGTTGCCGGCACTACACAACTTTAGTTGTCAACATTTTAGAAAAATGGACGTCAACACTCTAATGAGTTTGATGGTTGTCAACATTACAGAGTGGTCGGTGGTGTCAACATCACATGATGTTCGTCAGCATTTCATACCAGTGACTGTCAACACTACAGCATGATGTATATCAACAAAACATCTACATTGTTTCAACGTTACAAACTCCCGTTAACATTTCAGTATCGTGATTGTCAACACTATAGAATTATAGTGGATGTTATCACGATAGCAACTGTTAACAGTACAGAATGGTCGCTATCGACGCTATAGAAAAGAGGTTGTCAACACTACAAAATTATGACTAACAGGAAGTTGTATACTAGACTCTTGTCATTAGGTTACGCACATAGTATGTAGGTCCAAATATTGTATTGGAATGAAACGGCCCACAGGAAGAGGGTTTTTTGACAAATGGGAATAGTCATATTTTAATTAAACCGTTACACAGACACGACTAATGAACTATTTCATGGTAATTGTAGTCGTCTAATGGCTTTGGGGAAATGTCAAGTGTTCCCCGAAGGGATACAATCGACCCCAGAGCAGAGCAATAACTATTTGTTAAAGAAGTGCAAAATAGTCGACACACACGTGACAACCACACGAGACAACGTTAAAACACACGTGAGAAGAGGGCACCGCACGTGTTCTCATCTCCCCACCACGTGTAATGTACAACTCCACCACGCATTGTTATATATATCAGCTTCAGCATTTATACGATAGCATTGCCGTAACTGACTAATGGAACATTTCAACCTACTCCATATATATATAACACAAGCCTAACACGACAGGCTATAACTACCGGGCCATTCCGATGATATATGCCACATATAAGTAGAGGTTAAAAATGTATACTGTTCTATAAGAAACGGCTGCAGCAGGATAGGGGCTGTTTATTTTTAGATAGACCTATGTCAACTGGGATTTTACTATCGTGTTATTTTCGCGATAATTGGTAGAAAGACTCGATATAATTTGTTTTAACAAAAATCTTGATTAAGCCACTGGATTTGCTTCTTATTATAACATAACACAGGTGCAGGGACGCATTTGGAGTAAGAAAGATGGAAAATAAACCAACGATATTTCAAAGACGTCATTAAAAAATAGCGTTTGTATCAGAAAAAGTCACCGATTCAAATATAATTACAAAATGCCAAAAAATAAAATAAAAAGATAAGCTTTTCATTTTCCGGGACAATTTTGGTGAATTGTTACTAGCACTCTAAGCTATCGGCGATTCTTCAACACATTTGACAAAAACACAAGCAAGGGGCCATTTTGAATAAACGTGCGTTAAGTAATAACGAGTAGTTCATTCCTAATCTAAATGAACACAACCAACCATGTATTGTTTCCTTTCTATAATCAGAATGAAGCTCTGTGGTTAAGCAGTCCACTAAATTCGCTAAACCGGAAACAGTTATGTGAACAATAGATTTCTGAATAGCTATATTGTTTTAGAACCGATAATCTCCAAGTCGTTATGATTCCAGTTGACTCATTTCGCTGTTTTATTTACTATTTACACGTTCATTTTAACCACATTCAAAACAAAGTACATAGATAAAAACAAGGTAAAATATTTGAGTTAAATTCAGAAAAAGACGTGTTTCGAATGCAGGTGCTCGATCTGAAAGGCCCCTGTTAACTAAGGACTACTACTTTGTAGGTATATATATGCTACAATCAAGTTAGAAACTAGCCCTGCTGAAGTTTATTTTTTGATAGTACCAATCGGTTCATTCTTTCCAATCAAGATAGCTCGTTAATCCGGAATTGTTTCCGGTAATATAGGTTATTTCGACTGAACGACACAAGTGCTACAAACATATGTAATTACTATAAAATGAAAGAGTTGAAATGACACACATGTACAGTATAAGTTTGTAAGTAAACATGCAAATTAACTAGCTCGGGATAGATGAGTATATTAAATACCTTGACAATTGTTGTGTGACATTTAACTATCAAACCGGACAATTTAGTCCCCTTTTTTTCACTTATTTTATATTGCTGGCACTCCGGTCCTTAAGTGTCAGGCTCATGTCTCTGTAATATGTGCACCAGCCTTGTAAATAATAATAGCACGTGAACTTCAAAACAGGTTACACACACATATCGATCGAGACTGATAAAGAATATATTGGATATGATATAGTGCTTACCTTAGATATGTGAAACAACGCCATATGCATGTAAACTCCTTATTAAAAAAAAACATCATATTACTCAACAGTCGGTTTAAGCTGGAATCTGAACAGAGCAGGACGAAAGCAGGATATACGATCCACGCTGAAACTATAGATGTTGTGCTAACTCACCTTGACAAGCTACGGTATTATTTTCTACCTGGTTTTTCGGCCTTACTGTTCTACTCCAGGTAAAAGATACACACTTGTAAAACTCCTTGAGATAAACACACCACGTTAATCCCACTGTCGAGATAGCCTAGGCCAAAAAACACTTCTCCGCCCCTAAATTTTCCTCGAGTGGTGGTTATCAACTACGCACGGGATGAAAACTAGGACACACAAAAAACGACGAAAAGTCACGCCTGGTACAGGTCACGGGTGTATATATATATACTGATACCGTGTCTGCACGGTGTTCTATCTGATAGCCCATTCTACGGTCGGAAAGTTGAAGACGACCTTCTGGCGGTTTATCTGCTGCTCATGAATCCACTTACTGACCCGCCATGGAGATATGAACATATGTATACATACAATACATATACGCAATACAGGTTGTCGGTATATATATAACATTAATAGGGATGTCGAGAGCATTCAATTAGCCTTAATTTAAATATACGTTAAATATGCACGAGGATTGTTGTCTCACTTACGTTAACACAACACACACACACCGAACGGTCATTTCAACTAGAAATCAAAATTAAGACAGTAAAAATGTATTAGCAGGACTTGAATATGCCACAAATGTTTCAAACTAGGATATTCCCAATACATTTATTAGATCACCGTAAACGATTGCCACTGAAGTGTTTGTTGATAAGCTACAATTCAAAAATACGTATGTTATTTTTATAAAGTGTATGCGACCGTAAGACAAAGTGTAACACTGGCGCTGTGGTGAAGCACGTATAGTCTCTATAGTTACCGACTTGGCTAGCCGGATTCGACGTCAATTTAATCAAACAAGTCATCACGATTCGACTCGAGTTGAGGTACCTGGAAATCGTTAACTTATCCTGGCCCTCACTAGGATAGATGAACTCCGGAAGACTCGAGGAAGTCTTTCCGGAGGAGACTACATATATTTGTAACAGAGAGGAGGAGGGGAGGGGAGGGAGTGGGACCGTCAGTCCACTTGAGGCGAAGGTTCGGGTTCGATTCCCAGTAGAGCAATGAGGAATACAAGATAGTGTGTATACTTATACCGATAATTATATCATTTCAGCTGGTACACGTATTGCAATATTGCATTAATTCTTTGATCCCGTTGAAACTGCAATCGTATGGAAGTACATTAGAACCAGATAAGCGAGGTATTTCTGTAATGTTTTATTAGACGGCAATATTAATATTCCCGAATATTGTAATATATATAACAATGAGTATTGTCGTTTGAGGAAGGCATGGTCCAAATGATCTGCGATAATATAATTTTCCAAGGCTTTCCAGAAGCAGTGGCACACAAAATAAACGTGTTTTTCGCGAGTTTAGATATATCGCGCGCATTCTTTCAGATCAGCATAAATAATTCGTTGTCCATTTTGCTAATTAGAATTTTCGCGAATGCGTAGAATGAAAAAGGCTCGCGAAAATAACTATTAGCGAAAACTAGATGACTTGCAGTATAACCACCTTTTACGTATATTTTAAATGGAGTTTACCATCTACCGTAACGACCATATGATCAGACAAGCGAGAGAGACCATTACCACTGGGTTTTTTTTTAATTCTAAAACTTTTCAGAATTGTATTGTGCATAATAGGACTCTACGGATTATTACTGCTTGTGTGTTTAAACAGCAGGCAGACAATTGTACAGACGGTTTTGATTAGTGGCGGGGAGGGAACACTGTACAGGAGGGGGGAGGGATGGGGAGCGGGATGGAGAGGGGAGAGATGACTGACATCTCTGGCACTGATTGGGGGTGATACACAACCCAGAAAACACCAGATACATTACATCATTGGAATTTTCCCTCCTTCTCTCCCCCCTCCC